ACGCAAATCAGAATCTCCAACTTGTGCAGATAGGGATGGGTAGCCAGCCTGCCTTCTGGCAGGGACAAAAGCGTTATTAAAAAATCAGAGCAAATGCTGAACTAAATTTGCCTTGATGACAGCCCAAATACCTCTGAGTAAGCTATTGCTTGATAGTCAGATTCTCAATAATCTGAAAATGAGCTGAACAATCTAGAAAGGGACATTTGCATGAAAGCTGTAGCATCTAGCTGTTTTTCTTTCACCTTGAGCTACGTTTGATGTATTTTGGAAATGCCTTACTGGTTTGTAAAAATGGTTAAGGGCTCCCTTGAGTTGATTTTTATTCCTGTTGACTAAAGCGAAGCATTCATGCAGCTTGTTTGGTAATAATAGTACAGGTAGACCTGACCACAGTTGACCTGACCAAAATTTCTGTTGTTAAACAAGACAGTTGCTAAATGAGTTTTGCCCCATTTTATGACTTTTCTTGCCACAGTTAAGTTAGTAACGCAGTTAAGTGAATCTGGCTTCCCCTTTGTCTTTGCTTGTCAGAAGATTGCAAAAGCTAATCACATCAGACCAGGAAACTGCAACTATCATAAATATGAGTCAATTGTCAAGCATCTGAGTTTTGATCACATGACCATGGGAATGCTGCTGTCATAAGTATGAAAATGGTTATAAGTCACTTTTTTCAGTGCTGTTGTAACTTCTAATGGTCACTAAGTGAATAGTTGTAAGTCGAGGACTACCAGTAGTGGATTTTATTCAGGATATTTTTTTTTTCAACTTTGCTGTACACACTGAGAAAGCTTTGGGATTTTTCAGGCACGTGCTAACCATGACCAATCTTGCTTTGCTTTTTGTAATACCAGGCAAAGTTAGTCTTGACTTAGAATCTAAAACGACAAAGAGACACCTTAAAGGCTAACAAAACTATTGTGGCATAAACATTTGTGATCTATAGTATCCTATTAAAGAAGCAGAATCATGCACAGAGCTTCATCTCACTTTTTTATTCTGTCTTGTTAAAATGGGGAAAGAAAACCATGTCCTGTTTTGTTTTGCCCCTCTTGCTATTAGGGGAACTAAGGCCAAATGATTGACCTTAGACCAGCACACCTGAGCATTCGTCATCAAGTTATTTTAGCACCTTACTATGCCTTTCTGTGAAAATGCTGGCTGGCTGCAGAATTGTAAACAGGAACAAATAACATTGAAAGCAGTCCCCATGGCTGCTTCTCAGATTTTGGCATTATGTTTATCCTGAAGTATACCATAACAAGATTACCCCTGGAGGCAACATGAGGTTAATAATATGGATGTATTTTTTGTTGCTGATTCCATGTGTCTAAGAACTGCATAATCATACCTCTCTAATGCCATCCATGGATAGAACACTGTACTCAAACAAGCATCTCTTCTTGACAGCTGCGGAGGCAGGTGGAATTGAAAGAGAAGGGAAAGCATTCTGTGCTGGGCTCCATTGAGAACAAGGGCAGTGATCACAAGACTAACCATGTGGGTGACTGTTGCCGGGATGACAGATGCCCAGGGACCCTTGTGGGCACTGGACCTGGAGCTGAAGACAGTGGGGACAGCAAGGACGTCAGTGAGGTCAGTGAGGCTACAGAGAGCACAGATATCAAGGACAGCTCAGAGGCCTCTGACTCTGCCTCCTAGCAAGGTCTTTGGCTGTGCTCTTCACTTTCCAGCGATTGGACTCGTGTCCTGTCCTTGGCCAGGGGTTGGACCGCTACAGATGGATTGGAAATAAAACTTTTGGAACCAGGTGTCTTGTGTAGAAGTCGCCTTGAAAGCTGTGGATGTGTATATGTGTCTGCCTTGGGTCATTCCCTATCCCCTTTCTTCTTCTCTAGTTAATCAATCCCTCTAGTCAAGGGTTGCCACCTTTTATAGTAGTTATTGCCATTTATTGCCAGAGTCTCCTCACGGTGGGAGGGTGGCAAACAAATTTAATAAATTTAAAAACTCTTGCAGAGGTGAGTGAAAAAGGACTTGTGCAAATTCTTCTGCTATCTTAGTGTATGCACCTTTCACCATGGAAAAGCTTTCAGCTGCATGGTGGGCAGTGGGTAAAAAACATTTGCAGGAAATAGGATGAAAAAGGTGCTGTATCTGCTTAATCCCCTATTGCAATGTTTCTCAACCTTGACAATTTTAAGGCATGTGGACTTCAACTCCCAGAATTCCACAGCCAGCATTGCTGGCTGTGGAATTCTGGGAGTTTATTTATTATTTATTTATTTAATTTATTTATATGCCGCCCAATCCCAAAGGACTCAGGGCGGCGTACAAAATTAAAAGTTGAAGTCCACATGCCTTAAAATTGTCAAGGTTGAGAAACACTGCCCTATTGCAACTAGAAACCTAAAGGATAGTGGCCAGTGCTTACAGTAAGGTGGGTGGGGTGAGTGGGAGGTCAGCTTTGTATATGTCCCAAAGATGGGATTCAGAAGTAGGGTAAATCTTCAAAACTTGTTCACTTTAAAACTTCTTATAAGCAATAAATGAAAGAGAATATTTATAAACTTAAATGTGTTTCTTAACACAAAAGAGGGCTTTTCTTTAAATCGGGCCCAAAAATTGTACACACAAAATAGAGAAGTACTCACCTGGAATATTCTGTTTGCATTAATTTTGGGAGTTGAAGCTAAGATGACCAATTCATCAGTCACCAAAACATGCATTCAGTTTAGAAGAACTTAGAACAGAAAATACAAATGTGCTGTTTTTTTTCTAAACAAAATAGCTACAGCAAACTTTAGTGCAATTAAACCGGAGCTAGAGTTGGGCCAGTCATATAGTATTCAGCACATGATGAGGGTACACCTTGTGTTCACTGGTGGGATCCAAATACCTGAATAACTGGTTCTCTGCGTGGATGCAGGCCTGGGCTTCCGAGGCCTAGAATGGACTTCCAGAAGTGACATCCACACACTTCCTGTGGGCGGTTCTAGGCCTGGGAGGCATCCTCCAGGCCTCTGAGGTCTAGAACGGACTTCTGGAAGCAGCGTGGGTTCAGCTGGTTCTCCGAACTGAACAAAATTTAGCTACCGGTTCTACTGAACCGATGCAAACTAGCTGAATCCCACCACTGCCTGTGTTGCATTCTCACTACATACCAGTGTCCGCACTGTTACCAATCCAAATATGTGTAATGACCCTGCTGTTGTCATTCCTTAATTGCTCACATCCTTTGTTACAACAGCTTTGGTGTATATAAAAGAGGGAAGAAAACAAAAATATTACAGAATTAAACTACTCAAGCATCAGGCTAGAAACCAGGAAACCATGAGTTCTAGTCCTGTTAGACACAAAACCAGCTGACCTTGAGCCAGTCACTCTCATTATCCTAGGAAGTAGGCAATGACAGACACTTTTGAAATCTCACAAGTGAACTGCAGGGCATAGTTCCCCAATCTTTTCAGCTTTGTGGACGGGTGGGAGAGGGGATGGTTCTGTGCGAGTGGTGGGCAAGTGAGCATGCACGCAGCTCCATGCTTGCCCCTTGAGCAAATGGAACACACACGCTTGTCTATGTTCACGCAAGTGGGCATGCGCATGTGCTCACCTGCCATTTCTGTGGCCCAGTTCTGAATGGCTCAAGGACCTGAGGCAGGCCACAACCCAAGGGTTGGGGACCTCTGCTCTAGGGGATATGTCCAGGAAGTCACCAGGAGTCAGGACTGATAAAGGCACCATCACCAAAAGAAAAAGGACCCCAGTCAGCAGAGGGAGGGGGCTACAGACAGGTTTTCTACACAACTTCACAATCTGGATTGGAATACATGCTTGAGAAGGACCTTGGAGATTGGCCTCATCTTTGGAAGAGAGATATGAAAATTTGAAAAAAGGAACAATGTTAAGCATTTATAGTAATTTAGAAAAGCAGCGATGTCATGAGTAAAGTGGATGAGAGAGAAATAGCTGGAATTGAACCCATTCATTCAAAACTCCCTTCAATCACTGCAATAGTGGAGGTAAGGCAGCACATAAAACATTTGTATCTTCTCACAACTCCAAATATTGTAGGTCATGGGAGCCCAGAGGCTGCAGGAAAAGTGTGAAACATTCTGCCTATTGGATGTCCTGAATTCTATGAAATGAAAAAAAAAGGAATGCTAGGTATGCTGCCTTAAGCTACTCATCTAAAGGAACAAAGATGGCTGTGAAGAAAAGTCTTGATTGATAGCTAGTATAATCTTTTCTGGAGATCTGAACAAATCCTTTTTTATAATGTGTTGAAACTCCTTTATACAGGGAAGTTTTCATAGCTACCTACAGAATTCAGTGGTACTATTCAAATGTATTCCAACTAATTCTTTCCACAGAATCTTATCTTGATTATTCCTTAAAAATGCTAATTTGCAAGTATTCTTATTTTCAATGGTACATTTCCACATGAAATGTAAGGGTATATTTACTATTCAACTATTTGATAAATAATTCCAGGTTATTTTACCAAGACAGAAGGATGTTTACAGATTAAACTAGTGTGGTTTCATCTGAATGGCTTGAACACACCTGGAAATCTAGTAATAATAGCTGCCTAAATTGAAGTTCATGAGACCTATTTATTCTATATTCCTAACAGTGAAAACTCTGGAGCACAGAATAATCCTGGGTCTTTTATGGAGCATCTTGCTGTGCATGGGGATTCTTCAAAAGAAGGTCGAAATAGGCCTGGAATTGATAAAGAAAAGAAATATCCCTACTGATGTTAAGCAACTATATAACACATAATCAATCCAACGTTGCTTAGTTATGCCTCTGCCTCAGATATTCAGGGTTGCGCTTCGGTTTTGCACCTTCAAGGCAAAATGGTGGATCACAGATAACCAAAAGAGAGAAATATTAAAACGGCGAGATTCTCCTTCCAGTGTTTCCACATCAAAGGTTGGCGTGACGCGCCCTCTTTTGACCAACAATGAAAAACGGACGGAAAGGCTACCGAACGTTCGGTAGCTCAACGTTCCCAGGATTCTTCTTTCTCAATATCTGATTGGCTGTAGGGAGAATTCGCTCTTAAGGTCTATCGGCAGCGGATTCGCTCGGGATCGGTTTTCCCCCCTCTCTGACGCCGCAAGGTGGATCTTTAAAAAGAAGGCTGCGATTTCAAGGCTTACGGCCCAGGGCGCTGCAGCCGGGAGAGATGAGTGAACTTCGGGCTCTAACTAAGACTGAAGCGCTTAGCCTCGGGCCACCCGACTGGAAGCAGGCTTGTCATGCCCTTTTATATGCGCCCAACCCGGGCCGGCTTTTTGGCAAGATCCCGTTGCGTTTCGCCGTGTTGGTGAGAACAACGTTTCACAGACATTGCTTGGCTTTAATCATCTCCTCAAGAGTAAGGTGAAGTGAGGATACTTCCATGTTGCTGAGAGGAGGCAGATTAGAACCCCAAAGCCAAATGGACCTCCCAGAGTTTTCTAAATTGTGTGTTATACTTTAATGTGATTGAAAGTGAACACTGTCAAATATAGGGAATGTATGTTTTCATTCTGTAATTTATTTGTTATTTTTCAGTAAAATTAAGTTCAGTTTGGCTTTATCTTAATTTTGCCCAGTTCTTGGAGTAATCGCCAGTGTCCTTTTCAGTGGTCAAACATCTACTTGGCCAGAAAAAGGTTGCACACTCCTGACCAAGGAAGTTCCTGGCAAAAGTGGTGTTGTAGTGTAAGACTTCTGGCAGAGCCTATTCCATATCTTAATTTTTAGTTCAAGAAGAGTAGTGCAGTTTAGCAGTTTGGGGTTATGGAAAGAGGAGAACTATATTAGTCCATGGTAGTCAAAACTCTGGTGCTGGAGAAGACTCCTGCGAGTCCCTTGGACTGCAAGGCGTTCAAACCGGTCAGTCCTAGAAGAGATCAACCCCGACTGCTCTTTAGAAGGCCAGATCCTGAAGTTGAAACTCAAGTACTTTGGCCACCAGGAAGGATTCACTGGAGAAGAGCCTAATGCTGGGAAAGATTGAGGGCAATAGAAGAAGGGGACGACAGAGAATGAGATGGCTGGATGGAGTCACTGAAGCAGTAGGTGTGAATGTAAATGGACTCCAGAAGATGGTAGAGGACAGGAAGACCTGGAGGAACGTTGTCCATGGGGTCGCGATGGGTCGGACACGACTTCGCAGTTAACAACAACACAACACAACAAGTCAAAACTCAGAAATCTGGTAGCACCTTTTCAAACAGAGACATTTTATTTAAAAAACAGGAATAACACTTCAGAAGTGTGGACTTCTGGACCTATTGGGCATATTTGTCATAGAATATTATCTTTTGTAAAGAGCTCATAATATTTGTCAGCACTGTTATGGGAAGACACTTCTTTTATCCCTTTTTACAGTCGGTACAATAGTTCCAAAATCCTTAGAAATGTTTTGGAGATAAATATGCTAATTCAGCTTAAGAAATTGTGTGTGTGTGTGTGTGTGTGTGTGTGTGTGCGCATAAATGTATCTAATGCCAGCGACTATTTTTGATACAGACATTTGGGTAGATCTGGTCACATCTGAATCTTGTATTCTGAAAATGTGGCTCTGGTGTTATGATCTGAAGTTGGGGATGCAACCTTCATGTTTTTACCCATGAAAAGGATTCAGAAGGTGTCTCTGGATAGAGAAGGAGTGAACAAATATGTCTGATAGTGCTTATTTAGAGGCCTCCCCACCCCCAAGTAAGGAGTCTCTGTATTGATTGTGTGTTGAAACTGTCAATCAAAACAAGGCAATGCAGCCTGCTTCTTCCACCTCTATATATTTTGGAGGGGGAATCTGAAAGAGGGAGTTTTGAAAGGTGGGGACAGAAAAATGGTACTGCAAGTTTCAGTCTTGAAAAAGAGTATTCATTTGTCCGAGTAATAAGTAGGAGGAGGATAAAGAGAAGATGATTTATAAGCCACCTGTCTTGCAACAATTGTGTTTGGGAGCCTATAGATATATTGTAATAATGTAAACCTGTTTATAACCTTAAATAGCCAGTTATTTAATACAACTCAATTCAATTCCTTATTTACATTTTAACAAATCAATCGCCCTGCTCTGTCTTTTCCACATTCTGCCTCACTTCTTCAGAAATGCAACAAAAGAAATAGATGAGGAAAAACAAAAGTATTCCTAAACCAGGAAAGTATTTAATGGTGGCAACGATAAATGGATCTTATTATTTAGAGCAGGCATTCTTAACCCTGCATCCCTTTGAGAATTTGGTGAAATCTATGAACCCCATCTCAGAAAAATGTATTTAAAGCAGTTAAAATTTATTCAGAGAGCAAGGAAAATAAAATTGGATTCCTTTTTTATTCAAGTTCAAAAAGTCCCAGAAATCACAAGGTTTTATAGTTCCTCCAGATGTAGGGAGATTTCATCTTATAAGATTACAAGAAAGTGAAAAAGGCAGACTACAGCTAAATCAAAGGGATTCCCACACCTGTAGATTAAGGGTAATTGCATATAGAATATATGAACTCTCAGTCTGAATCTCTTCTTTTCCAGATGCAGATGAGGTTTGATGGTCAGCTGGGATTTCCAGGAGGGTTTGTGGATCCTCAGGATATTTCCTTGGAAGAGGGACTAAATCGAGAACTACGTGAAGAGTTGGGTCCCGGGGCTGCCTCCGTCCACCTGGCTGAGAAGGATTATTTGAGTTCCCAGGCTTCTGAGCAGCCACAGAGAGTGGTGATGCATTTCTACGCCAAGCAGCTTAGCTTGGAAGAGCTCCGAGTGGTAGAGGAAGGGGCTATTCAGGCAAAAGACCATGGATTTGAGGTGCGTAAGGGACAAGGCAGGGGCAGCGGAAAATTTAAGAGAGATGTTGGGAGCCAGTGTAAAACAATTGCTCCCAGACATTGGTGCGTTTTCTCTGGGCATAGTTGGTAAATTGTCATATTTTTCTTGGCTTTAATAACTTTTTAGGTTTTTTTTGCACAGTATTTTGGTGATTCCTGTGCAGGAAGCTGAAGAGTATTCTGTAAGCCCACTCTGAACCTTTGCTAAGATTTTATCAAGTCCTTGTTCAAATGCCTGTGAACCTATTTTGGTAGGTGTTAACAGCTAAAACTTTTAGAATAAAAAATGAAGTGGAAATTGAGCATCAGTATTAGACATCCAGCATTTGTAGCTTTGCGGTAAACCCACACATTGTGAAGTTGTGTGTGCCTTTGAGTGAGGTGGTGACAGCAGAAAGAGGACAAGTTTCCCTAAGAGTTTATTTTAACCTGATTTTCTATCCTCTAATGGTTCAGGTGATGGGTCTCATCCGTGTTCCCCTCTATATTTTGCGTGATGGTGTTGGGGGCCTCCCGATGTTCCTCAGCAATAGTTTTATTGGCAATGCCCGGGAGCAGCTCATTCATGCCTTGGATACTCTCCAACTCATGCCAGCGGAACAACTTCAAAAGGCTATCAGGATCGCTCAAAAGAGACATTGAGCCTCGTTGACTCTGGCTGCTGCCTTTTCATTCTGATGGATTTTGGGATGTAATCCAGAAAGAATTTTAGACTTTAGGCATCTTGCAAGGAGAAGAAACTTAGATACGGTCCTTGCTCCAGTTTTCTACCCAGCCATCATTGCTGGTGCTGCTGAATAGCTTGGTACAAAGGTTGGGAGCCTGAATGTGGAATCCAATGATCAGGTTGTTGTATATTTAAAATACGTTGATTGCGTCTCTCTTGCCTAGACGTAGGTAACAAGAATTGAAAGACTTTGACTACTCTTATCTTCACGGAATGTGTTTGTGATCCGACTTCCTACATCCTGCTTGTAGGTGTAAGATTTCTTCCAATCAAACAACACCCTTGCAAAAATGGCTCTGACCTAACTCATCTTCTGTTTTCCAACATTTACTTTAAATGTATATTGTTATTGAAAGCATTCTGAACTTCATGGAAGTTGCATTTACCTTCTCTGCAAAAGCCAACTGCATATATCTGTTGATGGATCGTTACTTCATTATTTCATTGTCAGATTTCCTTTATTTTTTTTATCAGTGCTTAAAGAATGGTTATAACACTTTTGTATGACTCTTGACTCATACATTTTTTTATTAGCTCATAAGGAAATGGCAAGTCACTACAGGAAAACGGGTTTTCTGTCTCATTCCCCTTTTCCAATTCTAGAGATATACTATAAGTGTGGAAATTAGGAAAAGTATGTGTGTGCTGTCATCAAATTGTTGTACTGTCTATATTGTTATACAGGTAGCCCTTGAATTACCACCCAAAATTTCCATTGCTAAGCAAAACAGTTAAGTGAATTTTGCCCCATTTTGCAATCTTTCTTGCCACAGTTAAGTGAATCATTTCAGGTATTAAGTTAGTAACATGGTTGTTAAGAGAATCCGGCTTTGCTCGTCAAAAGGTTGCAAAAAGTGATCAAATGACCTTGGGACATTGCAACCGTCATAAATACATGCCAGTTGTGGAGTGTCTGAATTTTGATCACGGGGATGCTGCAATGATCATAAGTGAAAAGCTTTCATAAGTCACTTTTTTTCAGTGCCATTGTTACTTTGGTCACTAAATGAATGGCTGTAAACTGAGAACTGTCTGTATCCAGATTAGGAATGCAATTTATTGCTTGGAAACAGTGATACTGTGCAGATTTCAAGACATATGCATGAATGAGTGGGGGAGGGCCGTTTTGGTCATTCTGCTGAGTTCAGCATTCCATTAAGGAGCAGAGTGGCAAAGGAACCTGCGAAGTGGGAGTGATGTTTATACACTTCAAGGACCATCTAGTGCAGGGGTTCTCAACCTTGGCAACTTTAAGACTTGTGGACTTCAATTCCCAGAATTCCTCAGCCAGCAAAGTCTTAAAGTTGCCAAGGTTGAGAACCCCTAATCTAGTGGTTGGAACATGGACACCTGTTGCTTGGCTTTCAAAGTAGTCTTTAGACTACAGGTCCTACTTCACACAGAATAGTATGAGATGCTTTGGGATAAAACTGGGCTAGAGAGCTGAGGTGCTGTGGTGGTTAAAGCATTGGACTAGGAGCAAAGATAACCAGTTTCAGCCACTGGTGGTTTAGGGCCAGTTGCTCTCTCCCAGCTTGACCTATTTCACAAGGTGGTTGGGAAAGCTGAGAGTAGAGAGTGCTGCTAAAATACAGAATGAAAGATGGGACACAAGTCAAATAAATACAATTCAGAATGGCTAAATCTTAAAAGAACAAAAGGCAGTGGGTAAAACAGAATACGAAGATGGTTGAAACAATGATAATTTGCAGAGATATGGTGAGGAATAGTGAATGGTTTCAGCAGACATCAGATATAACTATATCTCCTCTTAACTCATGCTTTTAATTTCTTTTGCTTACCATTTCTTAGTTCTTTTCTATGTTTTGCATATTATTACTGAACCCCAACGGGGAATAGTGTGATGCACAGTTATGCATGTATTTGGAGGAATCTTCAGACCAGGATAGGAGTATATGAGAGAAGATATTCTGTTGTTCAGAGGCCAGCACTTTTATCTGAGTGGAAAGAGTAAATGAAATAGAATTATTGATACTGAACGTTAGTACAGTATTGCATAGACGCTGTGACTTCTTTACAATTTATACAAGATTTTTTCTTTTAAAAAACCATAGGCTGGACAGCTTCAAAAAGTCTCATTCTCTTTGCAGTCATGTACATGTAATGAGTGTCTGTATAAATTGAATGAATGAATAAATCTTCAACTACCCCAGACTTGCAGACACGATCTTGACGATGAATCTGGGTTTTTCTTTTGCAGCATGCAGGCTGCACCTCCAGTAGTCATGAAGTGGCTCTTTTCTACAATGGCTTCTGTCCCGTACAAGCATGTCATATTAGATCATGCCATTAACCCATCTAATCCAGCATTCTGTGCTACATGGTGGCCAGCTGGAGGCACTTGAGAGGCTCACAAGCTTGAACTGGAGAGTGAGAGTCCCTTCCATTGTTGATTCCAACAACTAGTGTTGATGGATGATGACTGTGATTTAGGATTTGGTAAACAACCTTCAATAGTAGTAGTTATTGATTCTCCATGAACCTGTCCCCCTTTAGAACCATTCAAACTGACTGTCATTATCATAACTGCCGCCAGTGCATTCACACTAGTTTCCCTGTATAATAAACCTTCACCCAGTCTTCAACCTATCTGCTTCTAGTTTCAGTGGATGACCTGACATTGTCAGAGAAGGGGAAAAAACCTACTTCCTCCCCATATTATGCGTATCATGCATGATTTGTTGTCCTGTCTGTTTAACCTCCTTCATTCCAAGCTAAAATCCTAAGTTTTTCTTGAAGAGGAACTGCTCTAGCTTTCTAATCATAACCTCTGTAATATCATTTATAAAGTGAGATAATCCAAAGTATCCATGTTATTCCCAAATATAGTTTCACCACAGAGTCACGTGACAGAATTGTTATATCAGTAGTTCTAATTAATGCTGATTATTGCAGGCACAGAACTAGCCATTTTAGCAACTACAGATTAGAATAGCATTGAGCAACCCACCATGATGCCAAAGTCCCATCTCCAGCTTAGATCTCATCAGGGAAGAAGTGAAGTTTGGAATGTTGGTATCTAAGTGCCTCATTTTATGCATGCCTCATTTTAAAATTATTTCATCATTCCTTTTTACAAAGGAGTCCTTTTTAAAAATATATTTTTCTTACATTGTGCTTCCGAGTGACTTCTCCCTGGTTGGTATTTGTAATGGATAACTTATTTCATCATTTTGTTTTATAATATTTATTAATATATGAGACTGCAATAAATATATAAGTATTTTATAATAAACACATCACTCCTAGACAGTTTGTGGACTAGCAAAACACTGTGTAATAATCAAAGCTAAGCCTTGGGGAATCATCCTTTGAATGTTAATTTACATCTGTCTTCCATTTGAAATAGCCACTAGGCAAAATTTTACCAGATGCCTAAGTGGATAATTTATGTTGAATATAGAGTTGCTGCCTGCACGCTTTAATTCTGGACCCATAACGTCTGCAGCAACAAAACTCTGCTATTGCCGAAAATGAACAATTCCTCAAGAGTCCTGACTAGAGTATAACTGAAAGGGGTCAGTTACTAAAACTCATTTTTTTAATGAAATGGGTTCTTTTTGACTTGGTTACACTAGTTTTTATTTTGCTTTTCAGCTGGGGATGGATGGGTGGGCAGGTGGAACTAGCAGCTAATGATGGTTTTAAGTGCATGTCCCTGGTGTTTTGTTCAGTAACTGCATTTCACTTTCAAAATGTTTAATGCAACTTGTGTGCAGTATGTGCAAATGCTGCCAGATTTCAGTAGGTAGTTTTTTTTTAACAAATTGTGTATTCTAGAAACATTTTTCAGAAATAAAAGATTAGTACTTGAAGAGTTCCATTTGGTATTCGTCAAATTTACATAATCACCCATAGTTACTAAAAAATAAATATATAAAACAAAACTAAAAGGAATATTAGGCAAAGGGATATTAATACTAATGTAGCTACTTAATAATATTTACAATCTAAATTTTCTCTGGATGCTTACAGCAGTGACTAAAATCCCCCCCCACACTTTCAACCCACTGCAATCTTGTGAGGTAAGTTAACTGTGAAATGGGAGCTTTTTGATTAAGTGGGGATTTGATCCTGTATCTCCCCAATCCATATTAATGCACACATCTCAAAATATGCATGCATTAATCACAATTGCAATAAGAACAGTGATGTGAAAAGTAAGAAAAGTTGCTTCCAACCTCCTTTCTCTGTAATTCTCCCACATTTCCAGTCCATAGGGGGAAAAAAAAACTTGATTGGCCCTGGACAAAATAAACCTAGGTTATTTAGTGATAAACATTTAAGTATTTGGCACTTCTGGATGAAATATGATAGCAAGAAGTCTGTAAATGAGTCAGGAAAGTGACCCTCCTGATGAAGCGAGTTACTGTACAACTCACTGCCTTCCACGTGCCACCTAGACTGCTGGGTATTCAGCAATGTTGAGCAGTGTTTCATTCCCATGCAGGCTGGAGAATTCTGGGAATTGAAGCTCACACATCTTAAAGTTGCCAAAGTTGAGAAACACTGATCTGGATGGCCATGGTTCCTCTGGTATACTGCAGAAGCTCTGCCTTCATCCTTTGTGATCAGGGTTCAAAGAAAGCTTCCACCCACCTTATCTGGAGCTTCAAGGGCCACTTTTTTGTGTGAAGAAAGTCCTTATTCGTGTTATGATTATATGAACAGTTCCTCAGATATGGTGGAATCATTGGTTGAAGGAGAGGGGGCCCTCTAGGGGGAATAAAGCGGTATCCCAGTTTGGAGTTGGTTTGGAGGAGGAAACATCGGAAGTAAAACCTGCTGTTTTCCAAGGAAAGGCAGACAGCCTGGTAAGATTTTTGTAATACAGGTGATCAGCAATAAAATATCTACTTGGGCCTATTCAGGAGTGGTTCTGTTTGCTTGAGCCCAACACCAATTATTCTTAAGCAACTTCCCTTAATGGGCTTTGTGCCTGATGCCAAGGAAGAGACACAAGAAATATTTTCTAGCCTAAAAAGTGAAACTCATTGCAAAGCGTGACTTCTCTTCAACTTCCTCATTTCGCAATGCCTCTTAGTTCCTGAACTCAAGGCCTGATGTCGCAGTTCATCTGCAACACATCTTTCTCCTTCCTGCTCCTCTGGTCCACTGAGGAGTGTGAAAAATAGGGCGCTCTGAATGGGCCTTCTGTCCATCTTTATATATCAAGAACTCCCCCTGCCCCCCCCCCCATGTTATTTAAGCATGTGGTTTTGCAAGTGGAAGCCACATAATCCCAGCTTTGAAAGTGCTTGTTCAGCTTCCTCCAAGTGGGTGGGGTGTTTGCAGTGGACCAACACAGGGTGTAGAATTTAAAGCAAAGGAGCTTTCCGTGCTGGGAAATCCCATTTTTGCACCAGAGGCAACAGCTTCAAGCTTATTCTTGCTAGCTATAGATGATCCTAACAGAAGAGATCAAAGGGTCATAGAAGACAAGACAGGAAATGTGGAACATTTTACTGACACAGCTCATTTTAATT